GCTATATCTGATAGATATACAGGTATAATGTTGTTCCGTTGGAAGCGAAAGAAACCTCTTTTTTTCCCTTTGCTTTTTTGTTTACCACTTGCAAAATTACGTCATCTTTCTTTTTCCACAATTATTTGACATGTGTATTTGTTCCTTATATAGCAGCAATCAAGAATCAAGATTTTATATGCGAGCCTTTTTTATGTACGTGATTTTGTGGTTTTTATGATAAGCAATTTTTTACAGCTCTTTTCATTGCTTTACAGTTTTGCAATTTGCCTCTGTTATAAGTAGAATTCTTCAGATGTAAGGACGATGAAATTCTTGAATAAATGTTTGTTTTTTAAAGGCATTGGCATTTTTGAGATTTTGGGAACAATGCGAATTTTCTGACGTGTTGCGATTTTCTTAGATGAAATGGGACTCATTTTGTCACTCCAAATGTTATTTTTAAAAATTGTGCTGACGTTATTTCTAGAAGGGGGAAGTTTTCACATCCTTTCAAAAAAGGAAAAAAATGGTCTTAGATATAGACCTGTTTCGTGAGGAAAAAGGTGGCAATCCAGAATTGATTCGCGAATCGCAGAGGAAACGGTACAAAAATGTAGCTTTAGTGGACAAAGTTATTGACTATGATGTTAAATGGAGAAAAGGTTGGTGTTAAATTATTTACTTTGTTATCTTCTTAATTTACGCTATTTTTAAACTGTAATCCTATTTTTTCAGGAAGGTTTGCTTTGGATAATTTGAACAGATTGAAAAATGCGTGTAGCAAAGTTGTTGGAGAGAAAATGAAAGTAAATTTTTTGGAAATAAGTTGTAACACGTAAAAAGCTTGTTTCTTGATTGCTTTCTGTTTTTAGTTAACTGCTATTGCAGTTGCTTTCATCCTTTTATTACAGTTAATAGTTTAGAAAAAAGAAGCGCTAGGAGAAGGCGATTCGTTGCCGGACGTCATATTAGAAGGTTTAACAACGTTAACTGTAGACTCATTGAAAGTCAGTTCTTTAACTGATCATTGGCTTAAAGTTGCTGAATATTCTTTGGGAGAGTGCTCCTTGGTCCTTTTTCTTTTTCAGGCTCTTACTGTTAATCAGATCAAAAAAGTGAGGGTTTTGATTGATGAAAAAATAATAGAGACTAAGAAAGAGATGGAAGAATTAGAAGCTGCCCGTAATTTTAACATGTTTCAAATTGGAAACTTGTTGCACGAAACTGTACCAGTTAGCGACGATGAGGAAAACAACCGTGTTGAAAAGCTGTTTGGAGACGTGAAGTCGAGAAAGAAATATTCACATGTATTTTTCTTTATTTGAAGTTTTCCAGCGAGATTTTCATTATTTTTATTGAATACTGCAGGTGTAATGCAGTATAGTTTTTGTACATAAAAAATATAATTGATTTTTTTTTACACCTCTGCTCTTTTGGTGTGTTAGAAGTACTTCGTATTACATAACCGGTGCCTTTAGGTGGATTTGGTTGTAATGGTTGATGGTTTTGACGGGGAGAGAGGAACATCTGTAGCTGGCGGTAGAGGATATTTTTTAAAGGTTTTGCTTTCATTTGTATGGGATTGATAAATGATTAGCACTAAAAGCTTTTTACCTTTTTTATTTCTTGTTGTATTGACTTCACCTTTACTAATTATCCTCTAGTGTTTAATAAAACAATATCCGTCTGTATTTAAGGGCCCGTTAGTCTTTCTTGAACAAGCAGTGATCAATCTGGCTTTACAAACTCTGGTAAACAGAGGTTTCACGGCTCTTTACACTCCATTTTTCATGAGGAAGGAAGTTATGCAAGAAGTAGCCCAATTAAGCCAGTTTGATGAGGAGTTGTATAAGGTGTTTATTTAATCTTAAATTTTTTTGTTGGGTAGTTGAGTTTTTTGGGCTGCATATTGCATTATAAAGTTTCGATTTTTGCACAATTAAAGTGGTATTTTGTCGCATAATTTTTTTTGTGTTTGAACTGCAGGTTAGTGGAAAAAGATCAGAAGTTACTGGGGATGAAGAATTGGATGAAAAATATCTTATAGCAACTTCTGAACAACCTATAGCGGCATTCCATCGTAATGAATGGATCAATCCTTCTGATCTACCTATAAAATATGCTGGGATTTCTACATGTTTTCGTCAAGAAGTACATGATTTTTTTTTGTTCTGATGGTTAATGGTTGGTCGAATGGTTGCTGTTTTTCTCCTTATTTTTTCAATTAATTGAGTCGCTTTAAGGTAGGTAGTCATGGCCGTGACACTCGTGGTATATTTCGAGTTCATCAGTTCGAGAAAGTTGAACAGTTTGTAATTTGTTCTCCCTTTGAAAACGCCAGTTGGGAAATGCTTGATGAAGTAATATCGACATTACATCAAGATTTCCAGCAGTGACAGTATTTGTTCATTTTTGAACTTGTTTTTTTTTCTAGATGATGACTAATTCTGAAGATTATTGTAAAGCTCTTAACATACCTTATCGTGTCGTTACTATAGTTTCTGGCGAACTTAATAATGCTGCTGCAAAGAAACTAGATCTTGAAGCGTGGTTTCCCGGCAGCGGGGCTTTCAGGTATTTTCTATTAAATAAGTCATGTTATGTTTACTATTGAGGATTATAAAACAAATTTTAATACCAAGGTGTCTTATAGGGAGCTTGTTTCGTGCTCAAACTGTACTGATTATCAAGCTCGACGTCTGAAGGTCCGGTACGGACAGACTAAAAAAATGGATGGAGAAGTAAATAGTATTAATATTTTTTCAATTATTTTTTGTTAATCTTTTAATTGCTTCTACTGTCTATTTCGACTGTGCTTTGTAGGGGACTAATGGAAGCCTAATTACAGGTTAACTATGTACATATGCTGAATGCTACAATGTGTGCAACAACGCGTGTGATATGCTGCATCTTAGAAAATTATCAAGAGGACAAGGGAATTAGAGTGCCCGAAGCATTAAAGTTGTTCATGCCTTCTCAATATAAAGATATGATTCCTTATGTGAAACCCCCTCCTATTGAAACGGAGTTAAAAAAGGTGAAAGTATAATGATTATCTGGACGTATAATTTTTTCACGGGGATAGTTCTGTTGGTTCGGTTTCCCGGCTTTAAGTTATTTATTATTTATTTGTGGGATGGTCCCACTCCGCTCTAGCAAATCTCTTAATAAATTTTTCTCGCATTTCTTATTGTTATGTTTTGTTTTAGTGACTGGATAATGCTTTCGATTAACAGAGTTTCTGTTGACTTCTTAAAGCTTTGTTATCGGTTAAGATTGTTATTGTTGAGAAGATGCAAGATGTTGTTTATTATTTTTATTTTCTTATCAAGGCTTTCAGCTTTTGTGCAGTAACGTTTTTTTAACTCATTTGTTACCGATAAAGGTTTCTAAGTGGTTCATGAGTTGCTGTATGAGTTCGCTTTTTCATATGCATCATGGAGTAAATAGAATTCTGTGAGAGTTGTGAGGATTTGTTGCTCCGAGTTCCATAGATTTTGAAAGTTTATCGTAAAACTATTTCCTGGTCTACTAAATTAAAAGAGCTGCTTTGCTTTTTCGAGAAAATGGAAACTGGTATCAGTTTTGGATGAAAGTAGTGCAAAATATATGAGCAATTTTTTTAAATGCCAGTGAGAAGGGTTTTAACAGTGCACAGGAATGTCTAGGCTGTTTGCAGCGAATGAAGTGTTTTTGTATCAGTAAAACAAATTGTCTAAACTGTAGGAGATGGAGTTTTACGATATGGAGATTTTAAGGGACAGTTTAGGTGAACGCTTTTAGCCAATTTGATTGGGTGGCAGCAAAAGGTCAGTTTTTCGTGTCATTGCGACTATGAGGTTGGGGTTGAGAGGGTTATAAAAGAAAGTAAAAATTCCAGAAAACTTTGTTGATATTTATGCACGAAGATGTTTGCTCCTGTATAAGCAGAGTTTCGCTCATTTACATTTTATTGTACTGGTCGCAACTAAGTCGCTTTTCCCCCTGTTAAGTATTTGCAATTGATAAGCTCTCATCTGTCTAATCTATTTTTAGGCTTTCACTTTTACTGCTTTATTTTCTTCTCCATTCAAAACTGTTCTTTGTCAGTGGGACTTACATAAGTTTGATTGACAGATATAAGTTAAAAATGTAGAGTAGTTTGAAAACTGCGGTGAAGTGTAAAATTCATTCATATCATTGTTTCAACTAGAGGGAACTGTTTGCTTGGTACATTTTATGTGTGGCATCGATAATCACTGGTAAGAGTAAATGGGGTAAGATTAGTTTTGACTTGTCTGAACACTTATTGTCAAGTTTTTTCTGTTCAGCAACTTCATTGCCTCACTGTTTAAAGTGTTCGGTGTAATAGAATTGTCTTTTTTTTTTTCTTTTTTTTTTTGATGATCACTACAGCAGTCGACAGGAATCTTAGAATTCATCGGCATTGATTATATCTTATTTAACGGGGTGGACAGTTTGTAGAGACGGCACTTATTTTTGAACAGTTAAATGCAACAATTATATATTATCAGAATTATTTTTCGTCATTTGCGATGTAATGATTGATGGTTATTGATGGTGTTTAAAGAGGAACCAGCTGAACACCGTATAAAATGGTTTCTAGAAATGATGAAGCAAAAAGAAGAAATGAGGTTATTTTTTTGACTGAGAACACATTTTCAGTCTGTTTCTGTATGGCCAAACATTTTTTTAACATAAAACGAAATACAGATGAAAAGCTTTTTAAGTGTTGGTAACAAGTTTGACATTTTATATCAATGAAAAAAAAAGTCGTGAAAGGAATGAACAAAAAAAAAAAGTATTTTATTTTTGTTTTTTTTTTTTAATGAAGAAGAAGTGCTCAAGCAGAGTATTTTATGTTTTCTGTCAATGATTAGGATTTAATAGTAGAAAAAAAGCTTTGCTAATTTGGACAGCAGTATTGTTCTAAACCTTTTCGAGCAATTTTACACTTGAAGCAGCCAAAATAAATGCCTTTGTTTGCTCAGTAGTCGCCTTTATAATCAAGAGTTTCAGAAAAGTAAACCTGCTAAAATTTTTAAAAGTTTATTTGCTAGCTGTGCAAATTTTATCTTGACCTTTGAAAATGGTAAAGGGAAAACAGAACTACTTTTTTTTTTTTCACATACATGACACAGGTAATAATAATAATTATAAACGGTGCCTACAGTTTCGTAACCGAATTACATTAGCAATTTAGTGAAATTAATCTTCGTTTTTAGTGCATAGGTATTTGATACGTTCAGTTAATCATCACGGTTGAAGGATGTATGTTGATCTGTTTAGGACATCATAAATATAAAGATTTTGTAATGCATATTTTTGTTGTCTATACTTTTGTACTGTTACATTTCTCTCAAAATAAAATTTATTGTATCTATTTGAAAAGGTACACTCATGCAAAAAGTACTGGATAAAAATCCTGCTCTACGGTATAAATTGTATACCCGTAATTTACTTAGATTGTGTTTATATTACTTTATCGACCATCATCTATAGTGAGCTTTGGAACCACTTATTTATGGTTTTGGAAGCTTTACTTTCCTGTCAACAGTAACAAATAAGAGATTACAAAGCGGACACCAGCTGAAGATGCGATAATTGAGCAGTACAGTCTGTGATCTACAGTTTCTTCTAGCCTTAATGTTCAGAGTAATTACAAAAATAACTTTTAAATCTGTAACAGTAACCACATCAAAACGATAAACTTTAATTCTTGTAGTTTTACTCTCGCGATATTCTGGCACATTTTATGATGTCATTGGGGCAATTCGGTCAATAAATTGAGAAAGCTGATAAACCTAATGGACGGATAACAAATTAAAAGCTGCTTGTTAATTAATTTTTAATAACAGTTCATCTATGAAGTCTAGCGTTTATCACTGTATCATCCTATTGCAAAACCAAGTGCCAAGATTCCTACTAAGTGTACGATTTGTCTCCAGTTATATA